ACATTTCTTCATCGTATAAATGGTGTTTGAAAAACAGTATATGCGTTTTTAAATATTATTGTTGTTTGAACATAAATAAATGAAACTGCAACATAGGTATTTACATAACACAAAAGTAATTGAAAAGATTCGTAGGTGGGAAACGCTAATTGTAGGTCGCATCACGTTGCACAGCAGGATAAAAGAAAGACGTCTATGTCCTTTAATCGCTCATCCTAAGGTAGGCGGCCTGCTGAAATATCTGGACCACCCGTTCTTGCCATCTAGATGTTTCAACAAGTCACCTGTTTACTTGTTTGTTTTAACAGATCACTGTGTCAACAAATTGCATAACATATTCAGGTGCGTTTGTGAAAGGTTCATGACCTTCGCTGTACAGGTTGCAAAAAAATGTACAATCGGGGACATCGTGATTACTGGCAATATGGATTGAGAAGAATAGATATTTTTCAGGTGTCTGTTTCTAAAATGCTAACATCTAACTGGCAGTCGTTTGATACTTATCGTCAATGCCCATCAAGAAATAAGAAACGGAAATCCGTTGAAATACTTTGTGCCGAGTATTCTATATTGTACCAAAAATATAATATTGAATGAAGCTAATAATAATTATTTGGAAAAACCTGTCGCTGACTTAGTCCTATGGACTAAGCATCCACAAGTATGCTAGCATTCAGAATAAAACAAAGGCTATCTGCTTGCATGGAACATTTAAAGTAAGGCCTCATACAGGTATGGCATGCAATCCGAAATATTGTTGGTAAAGTATTAGAATGCTCGGTGAAGTAACCACAGCACCCAACTAAGAACGATATTGAAGTTAATACTCGAAAACTATGGAGAAGGAGACGTCATACTGAATAAAACACACAATGTTGGTGGTGGATGAGTGAAGTACTGACTGTCCCCCCATCATTACAGGCTACATCTGTATTGGAAGTGGTAGAATTATAAATCGCAAGGGAGGAGGCATGATATTATATGCTGGAGATCTTTTTCATGTACAGTGGATTACAACAGAGACGCATGACAGTGTTACATGTGAGGTAGCTTGTTGTACAACTTAGTCTAGACAAAAGTTGGCGACCACCATCATGCTGACAACTTTATCCTAAGTCAAATCTGTTACTGTAGTGTGTTTGGATGTTGTCTCATCATTGAAGATTTCAGTGTGCCGCATATCAACTGGATGGGGCTTTCAGCTTCGAGTGAGGGTTTCGATAGATACCTTCTATCAATGATTAGTCTACAGACGAATTCTCTCGTCTTGTACGATATTCGTTTCTATAGGGCGGGAAACTGTCTGCTTCGGCCGTGAGTGAACTACCTGATATCAGATGAGATATCTGATCAAGCTAATATATAAATTCCCGTGCGACAGTAATCGAAGAACTCTGTCGCTACATTTCATTCTTTGCTTGATGTAAAAAAACTACTGGTTCGTACAACTAAAGCTATTTGTCCCAACTGTTGTAGGGCGTAGATCAACAACGTAGATGATCTATGTAAAATGATTGGAGGCCTACTTGAGTTAGACGGGAATAGTGTGACGAACCAGCTAACGTCGAAGTCACACCTCGTGGTCAGCACCTTACGTGGACTACCCCATTGACGTATCAAGGTACTATAGATGCTTTGATGACTGTACAACAGAGAGGACGTAATTACAGAAATATATTAGTTAAAGTAGATACAAGCGAAAGTAAGACCACCACCACATGGGTTAGTCCATGGAGTACAATTAGCTGATGCTCTTTGGTTGTCCTTGACCTTGACGAGGATCGACAATTTGTCCGATATTCAATCATCCAACTGCCGGATGATTTGGCTAGGGCTCAGTGGGGTGCTATTAAACGCAACTCAACTTCGTAAATGTGGCATACAGCTTAGCAACCAATCAGAATGAGACGGGAATTATTATATCCGCCATCTTTGTAAGCAATGGCGGTCGGCTTTCTTCGTTCTGTGCTTTTTTCAGCTATTTCTTTTGTATAACTATGTAATTTAATGTTTTGATGTGCTAAAATGCCGCAGTTCGTGTAGTGCTCTATATGTTGGTGTGAAATTTATTTTGAGTCAGCATTTTTTCTGGGTTTTTGCTGCTTCTACTCAAGCCAATGTATTTCTTCAGGCAATCTGGCTAGTCTTGTGTTATAAAATGTTAATGCGTTTTGTTCTGAGTTTTTTTGGGATATCGGGGGCGAAGGTTAGATTTGTTAGCTCAAATAAGTGCTGCGGCTGTATAAAACTCGAACTGTCGTCATAATCGTTCCTAACTGTCAGACAAGCTCGTTATTCTTATGTCGTGAAATCTTAATGCGTCATATTTTGAGCATTGTTTTTTAGATATCGAGAACCAAGTCAGTTTTTTAGCTAAAATAAATGTTGCTGCCGCATGTGACCGTAACTGGCCGCATATTCGTTCCTAACTATTATTTATTGTTATCAGGCAGAATGAAAGATTTCTTATTTTCTGCAGTATTATGGATCACGCTACCCCATTAACCAATCAAACTGAGTGTCCATTGGCTGTGGATACCGGCGATGTCTTCGAAAGGATTATGAGACCCAGGCAGCTGACAAGCTGGGAGTTGTCAGAGAAGCTATCGATCTGTTGCAAAAGGTTTGTTATTGATAATACACCATCTAAAAAGTAATAGATGACTTTGACTCACTATGTAGTATCTGAAAGCAGGCTGAACAAAGAAAAGCCGGAAATTCGCTACGAGTTTGTAGTGTATGTATGTTCTTTTGGCCATAAAAAGAGGCCGGACGGCCATGGTCAGAGAGTAAAAGGGTGAGTGATTATTATTATTGTGTTCAGTTTTCATGTATCAAAGTTTAGTGGTTGCAAGGCCATGTTTCGTTTACGGTATGATATGAACCGGTTCGTCATATCGTCGTCGAGGATAATACATAACCATCCTTGTGATGAAAAGTGTTTGAAAAACGATCCGTGGTTCCGAAGATTAAATGAAGATCAGTTGAAGGTTGTTCGGCCGATGGTTGAGACTGCGAGTAATGCAAATTCAATAGTTAAGTATGCCGAAGACCATTTTGGAAAGACAATAACGGTGCCATATGTTAATAATTAAAAATATAAAGTTGTCGAACGTAAGCTTATCCCATATACCTACGGTATTTTAGTCTGTGGAAGTGTAAACGACGTAATTGCAACGTTACGGAACAATGGAAAAGTGTTCGTTTCTTATGGGGGTGTGGCTAACCAGGTTACAAAGATACATATAACACGAACAGGGGAAAGTATTATTATTTTAACACATAGATATTGGTACAAGAAGGCACCAAATACATATGCGCCACACGAATCTCATTCGATATGTGTGAGGGCTGTGATACTGCCCGGGTGCCCAAACCGAAGCAGGTGGTTTTCTTAGGGGGCCACTCCCCGAGCCTTCGACCTGAAGGTTTGATCCACAAGGCAGTGGAGCAGTCCCACGGAAGCCGGTGACCAACAATTGGTTCATACGCCTTTTGTTCCCGCAAGATACTGGAGCCCATGTGCACCATTGGTTTGGAATCCGGTTACAGCGCCGGACATTCACTTTGCATCCTCTCATTTTTGTAAACAACACCCCCGCCACGAGAAGGCAGTGAGTAGGACTTCCCTGGCAGAGGCTATATACGCGTGGCCATGTGAGAGCATTTCGAGAGGGAGAGCGGACTCTCCTCACTCTCGGCCGTACCAGGGCATTTGGGGGCGTACTAAATGTCTTTAGTTATAAACTCTTTCACTTGGTTTGTACAGATAACTGCGGACATAGAGTCCCAGTTATGTTTGCTTGGACCAATGAAGAGAAGAAGGTTGATGTGGTATGGATACTGAATCATTTTAAAAAGATCATGAATGGAACCAGTCAAACGGAAACGTTTGTGATGGATTGTGCAAGATCCATCATATCCGCTGTTGAATTAACACATCGTACTGCCCACATAGCTTTATGCTCTTTCCATGTGTGCAGAGCTATGTGTAAGAAGACACGCAATCCAATAATCAAGCAGTACTTATGTCAACTGGTGCGTGAACAAACAGTAGTTAGGTTTCACCAGATACATCGAATAATCAGTGCTCGCAGCAGACGCATCGCAGCGTACTTAAACAAGAACTGGATGAGTAGGAAAAGGACTTGGACCGCTATACTCATTAAAAACGGGCAGTTCTACTTACTAAACTGATCCGTTTCGTTACAGGCTTTAAGCACTACACTTAAGTATACTATAATTCTATAGACTAATCTAAATTATAAGGCAACTAATAATACTAAACTAAGCAAGTGTCATAATTATTGTTCCATTTGCACAGACATGTTGCTAAACGGAGTAAAATGAACATAATTCAGCCGATAAAACCAAAACACGAAATATAGTCCAGTCGAACTTACCTAAGAGAAGACAAAGGATATATATGTTGCTTCGAGACTGAAGACAACAGTCAGTTGTTCATTAAAAAACAAAGTTCACAGTACAACAAACCTTTCTTCAGTAACATCATGCACTGATGGTCTATCTGGAAACAATCAACTATGTGATTAAGCTCACTATTACTTGAGATATCATTCCAGAGTGCAGTGAACGTACAGTGTAGCGCAGTCAGACGTGGCGAATGAAAACTAAAAACAAAGCAGAATTAACAACATAATCTAGTTATTTAATTAAAAATACATTATGAAATGACAAAATCTGTGGTTGCTTGAACGCACAGATGACCGTTATTACACTGGGCGATACATTAAGTTTACATGGTTGCGATGCGGATAAATTCACCTGCTCAGTGACATTTCACAGGACCAGGCCAAATAATCCGGCGGTCGGGTCACTTAATGTCGAACAGTTCATCGATCCTCGTGAAGCTCAACGACACAAGCTCTATTTCTACATCAGGACTAAAGTGTGAAAAAGTTAATTAAGATATCTCGTCACCAATACCCTGGACATTGGACGCATAACTGTCCTAGTCACCATCCAGTGCCTCAAGGTTAGTACGTTGTCAATGGTGTGCAGGTTCTCTGCTTTAAAATGTCCATTGTAATAACGGTTTTCATTTGTAATAATGATTTCTATTCACTGCAGTTAGATGACATTGTTATCGAACTATAGCCTTCCCAATCTTCCGAGTTTGGGGAAATCCAGGGATTTTCCTCAAAGTCGTGTGAAAGTTCGTATATTTCCTAAAATCTGGGAAATCTTGGGTTTTTTAATGCAGTTCACCAAAACTTTCTGTCTTGACTTCCCTGAAACTGACAGAATTTTACATAGGGTCGGTAGATTGAGTCAATTTATCAACACTTGCAGTATTGGAAACATCGTCAGCAGTTACATGGAATAAAATAGTACGTTAAACATATGGCTTTCAAATGGTTCAAATGGTTGTGGACGGAATAGAAGAAGCTTTCGCTTAACAGGCTTCCGTGTCTAGTAGCAGGGGATCACCAAGTCCTCCAGGCAGGAACCTAGGTATGTTAACAATAAAAGAGGAAAAGAAATTGGTAAATCATAGTGTGATGCTGTTCTTGGTTCTTAAGAGTAGGTCAAGTTGCCTCTTGAAGGACTCCTGAGAAGTCGCTTGAACTAGCTCGGCCGGCAGCGAATTCCAGCTTTTGACAACTCTTAAGGAGTAGAAGTTGTGTCTACAGTTCGTTCTGCTATGTTGTGTCTTCAGTTTTTGGGTGTTACGTCTTAGGTTAGTGTTGGAACTAAGCTTAAGTAGGTGTTTGAGAGGATGTCCAGAAGTGTTAAGAATACTATAAGCCATTAATAAATCACCTCTAAGACGCCTATACTCTAATGGGTAAAGGTCTAGTGAATGGAGGCGTTCTTTGTAAGGTTTAAATTTGAGTCCTCGAACTGATTTCGTGGCTCGCCGTTGGATACGCTCCAAAGTGACCTTGTCCTTTTGGAGTGAGGGGGGAGTACTATGTTTCCGTACTCTAAATGGGGACGGATGAAACTATTGAAGATTGTATGGAAAGTTCGTCCGTCAGACTGTCCAAAAATGCTCTTCAACGTTACCAGTGCAAGGTTTGCTCGGAAGGAATTTTTTCTCAGTTAGCGTAAGACTTTAAGTCATGGGGCACCAGGACTCCTAAATCTCTTTCGACTTGGAATACTACTAGAGAGGAGTTTCCTAAGTTGTAACTGTAGTTTGCGACATGTCGCAGATGGACTACTTTACACTTTGAAGTGTTAAAGGTAAGTCCGTTATCGTCTGCCCAACTTTGAAGTCGAGTCAGATCCTCCTGAAGTGCCTGTATATCGTCTTGGTTGTGTATCTCTCTCCAAAGTTTCACGTCGTCGGCAAAAAGTAATAAGTCTGACGTTACCTGTTGAGGAAGATCATTTAGGTAGATCAAGAAGAGAAGAGGTCCTAGTACTGAGCCCTGGGGGACCCCACTAGGACATTCCATAGCCTGAGATAAAGTGAAATTAACTCTAACCTTAAAGTGTCGATTTTTTAGGTATGAAGTAAGCCAATCGATTAGAGGTGGTTTGATACCTAGTTGTTTGAGCTTATTGATAAGACACAGGTGGTTAACCTTATCAAAAGCTTTTGAGAAATCAAGGTAAATGATATCAACCTTTCCCTTGCGATCGAGGATGCTTGTCCATCTGTCCACCGCAGTCAGCAGGTTGGTTATACAAGAGTAACCCTTCCTGAAACCATGCTGTTGGGGTGAGAAGAAATTTAAGGACAGTAGATACTCGTTTAAACCGTCGCATATCAGGGACTCCATGAGTTTTAAAGGTAATGACAGAAGAGCCACCGGCCGATAACTTAAACGTTCATTGCGTCGACCACCTTTGAAAATTGGTGTGATGTGAGCCAACTTCCAATTTTCCGGTAATTTGCCTTGGCTTAGCTAGTGTGAAAACATCACGCTAAGCGGCGTTGCCAGGATTGAGGCTGCCTCCCTCAGTATGGCAGGATGAACCATATCCGGGCCAGGAGAAGTATCTAGTCTTAAGTGCTGCAATTTACGGAACACCAAGTCAGCGCTTAGGTTCACTTCGGAGAGCCCTGTGGAATTGCAGATGAAACTGTCGTCAGTAAAGTTGATGTCAGCCGGTTGAAATGTTTGAGAGTAATGTGCCGCCAGAAGGCTAGCGGCGTCGCCATCGTTGTTGGTCGGGCCGTTAAGACCTAGCAGTTGAGAAACTCCTGATTTGGCTTGACGAAGAGAGGCTGCATAACGGAATAGGCTTCTAGGGTTAGAGGCGAATTTGTCCATAAGCTTTTTTTGGTACTGAAGCCTGTCTTCTCTTATAGCCTTCGTGCATATGTTCCTGATATGTTTATATTGTCTATACGCTCCGTCGTTATCAGTTCGTTTGTATTCCGCCCAACAGTGCCTTTTGCGGCTTAGCAGGCGAAGGGTACGGTTCTTGATTACTGTAGGTGGCTTGCAGCTTTTGGGAACCGTTTGAGGAACTGAATGGTTTGTAGCACATAAGAGCGTGTGCAGTAAGAAGTCCCAATGACCGTCCACATCGAGTTGAGGGTGAACATCCCAAACCACCTGTTGCAGATAGTCATGTAGAGCTGGCACATTCAGCCGTTTAAAGTTCCAACGCAAATTATTGTTGGGATACCTTAGCTTAGTTTTGATGACAAAACTGAAGGCTATGACGGCATGATCGCTCTTTCCCAGAGGAGCCAGGATTGAGGGGTTGTCAACTAGAAATTCTTCGTTTGTGAATACACAGTTTAAGCGCGATGGTGTCTGACTGTTTCTCCAACGAGTTGCCGACCTCACATTTTCATATAAGCCCAAGTCATCGATGAGGTTGAAGAACCGAGCTTCAATTGAGTTGTCGCCTCCAGTGTACGTGTGTTCCGCGAAGTTGACTCTAGGGAGATTAAAGTCCCCTAGAATCAGGATGTGTGTGAAACCGAGACGGGTAGAGCGGGATAGTCCTTCCAGCATACGACTATCGTACTCGGTGTTAGCAGTTGGCTTCCTGTAAATGACTCCGACTAGACACCTCGAAGTACTTGACAATCTAACAGAGCACCATATGGATTCCTCAAGATTGTTAAACTCGAGGTTGTGAACTTGGTGCACCTCCAAGCAAGAGCTTATGTATATGGCTACTCCACCCCCAATTCCTGTTTTCCTATCGTTGCGGAACAAAGTCATCCCAGGTAATGTTAACTCTTGGTCCGAGAACTGAGAAGATATTTAGGTTTCAGATATTCCTATCAGACGGGCCTTATTAGCATTACTAAGTTCACGTAATTCATCCAGTTTGTTTGGTAGACTCGCGGCGTTCATATATAAGCAGTTTATGCTTTCAATTTGGAACACGTGAGCTTCGTCCTGTTTTTCTGTATGAGCCTTATGTGAATGGACAGGTAGCCCACCTATATGAGGTTTCCCGAGGTGGTAGGCCCTGTCCTTTACACGTTTTTTTATCATTTAAACAGTCCACAAGTGGAATGGTCAACTCCAACTTGCCTTTGTGCTTGGTCCTAGCCTCATATGGCCTATCCGGGTGCATGTGGATTCCAGGTGGCAATCGACGTCTGTTGGCACGAAATGCTTCCAGAACTGCAGCTGCCATGTGGGAAGATGGGAAGGTTATCTTCATTAGACGGGGTCTAAGATCACCGTCCTTCTTGGCTAGTCTCGTCACATGCTGAGTCAGTATGTGTTTGAGCCTCAAGGACTGTTTGATGAATTTCCATTCCCTGATGTCAGAATTCGATTGAGTAGGGTCTGCATTTTCCGGCATACCTTGCACAATTATGTTTCTTCCGCGGAAGAACTTCTCACGAGATTCTTTAGGGACGTTCCGTATGATATTGCGCTCAGAGTACGGTATGTCGGGCAATATTCTTACGTTACCATCGGATTTCAGCAAGTGACTTGCTAGCAAGACGATATTTGATGCCACATGTCCGTCACACGAACTGTTACGCTTACCATGATGTTGAAATGTTTTTCGTTAAGGCGATTACAGTACTGCAAACCACAATACTTGTGTAAACCTGTACGAGACAAATTGATTTATGTAAAATTTTACTAACTATAGTATACAAGGTGGTTATTATCGCAGTGGAAGCTTTATGTATGGTACTTGCTAAGCGATATCATCGCTTTTAGAGTGAGTTATTTTCTGAAGAAGCTATGTTAAGTGGTTGTCACTACACTTACACACTTTATTTCCGTTTAACTCTTTGAAACACATTGCCCCTGTTAGTGCTTCCGATTGCCTTTCCAAGAGTCTACTCCCAACTTAGAGACTTATGGATTTGGATTACACTAACTTTCTGTTGCTGTTAGGTGGTAGGTTTTTCTGAATAAGTCCAAGTGTGAACCATAATGGAAAATATGTTTTTATGACTTTCTTGAGTCTCTTTATCTTGAAAACATTAATTTAATTAAGTGTGATCGTTCCATTTTTATGCAACTAAATGTATTGAATGTTCACGTATCAGAAGATATATCCAATTTTTGACATTGCCACTCGGAACTCCATATAATTTAAAGAAAATATTTATCTCTACTGAAGATCAGGGATATTGAGTGACAGTCTGCCCCAACCTAGCAGATATTAGACCATTGAAACTGGGAAACAAAGATTTTATATACTCGATCACAAGTACTCTCGATGTGGTTGGTTGGCACTTACATAGAACCTGACACGAATATATGTCGGCCAAACTTGCTGTATTACATATCAGCATAGTGTGAAATGAAATTGACGGAATGAGAATTGGATCAATTTCAACTACAGCAGAAATTTAATCATTGTAGAGACTTCGAAATAAAGGAGAATTAAGAGGTAGTAGTAACACAATTCATGATTGAAAAAAAAGGTATAAGTGCAACTTCATTACTGTGAACATGGCGTATTAAATTAATGTAATTTGTTTATCAACTATACGTCTATGTATTTTCCTTTGAGTCATAGATCTTATCTGAACATTGCTGAAACTACTGTAATTAAAGTAAATAGTTCAAACCGGCAACATAATGACAGAATGTCAAGTATCCGTGCTGTATGCAAATTACTATGTCAAGAAATTACGCCACATAAAGCTTTTAACTGAACATGTTTTGCACTTGCTGATGTATTGTAAAATTTGTAGGTAGGTGGAATTTAGAAAATGTCTATACTTAAACAGATTAAGAATTTGTATTAGTGTAGAAAGTCACCTGATGAACTTCTGCTATAAAATGACATGCTTTCCTAAAGATGTTTTAAACTAGGTGACGTGGTTCAATATATATACAAGTGAAGCAAATAACTCCTTATTCTGAAGATTTTTACTACTTCCTTGGATTTATTTCCATTTTTTTGGTAGTCGTAAACCTCTTGTTTCTATTCCCAAATAACCTGTACGTATGCACTGTTTAAAAAAATCAGTACAACCGCAAATATTTCGAATATTTCCATCTTCCGTTTAAGCTCTATTAGATATAATCTACCTTTATAATTTCTCGATTCACCAGTGAAGATAGCGTTTTTTAATTTAAACTACACTTACATCTTATGGGTTGTTAACTTCAGATAAATGTCTAGACATTAGATAATTAATTACACAAATGAACTAAATCCTCGGCTATTTTATTAGCCCTATAAATTTGCACTAACAAGCTAATCTGTGTTTTTTTTTTCAATCACGAAGTATTATCAGTCCTCTCATGGCTCGGAACCTTCAAGGTCTTCTTCGCCTTGCCGTTGAACATTCTGAAAATGCCGCCACAAAACCCATGGACCCAAAGGTAATCTTACTTTTAAGTAGCTGATTTCAAAAAATAGGATGCCGAATGGTTGGATAAAGCACTAAGTGCATCAACTGTCGACTTGAGTAAACAGCTGACTAACGATGTCCAAACGTTATCATCCCATTTGTCATCGTCGGAGCCCGATTTAAATGAAACGAAGAATGTCATTGAAGATTTGTTAACACTGACTGAAGATTTGGACTTGTCGAACGACTTTTTGATTGTTGGAGGTCAAGATGTACTACTCAAACTATTATTTTGCGGCCCACCTTCCTTAAGAATAGATGGATTGAAACTATTAGCAAATATCACTCAAAACAATCCTCGAGCTCAAAGTTTGTACACTGAAAACGGCGTCCTGGCTCGACTAATTATGCTATTTGAAGAAGAGACAGATCTAGAATTTCTGAGACATCTGTTACTAGCCATATCCTGTGAGTATTTTTCACCAATCAATGTATTTTAATGTTTATTTGGCTGATAAAAGTTTGAACTAACCAAAGCTCCTATATTTAATATACATAACATAACAAACAGCAAGGGAGTCGTACGATTTTTGGTATAAATCATAAAGATAGCGAAGATAAATATACTTGAGTATTAATATAGACACTAACGGGCTGGAATTGTATAATCTGCCTTCATTATTTACTATACTGAACTTTTTAAATCTTATTTGATAATTAACAATCTTTAGTGGTACATTTACTCCTACTGAAACTTGAGATGAACCTATGGTTAAGTATGGAAGTCGAAGGCTAGATGATCTCGTGTTTACTATCCAAGTGATTAACAAACTCAACGACAGTGAATTTGTTTCAATGTGTGATCAATAAATAGGCAGTCCTAATATTTTTTGAGGTGATGAACGTTGTTTGAAAACTCAATCAGAAGTTAGAAGTTTAACATGCTAAATAGTTTTTTAGTGGTTCCCGAATTGAGTCCACTATGTCACATACAGCTTGTGATGTTTTTTGTATACTTTTGGACATTCATACTCAGTTTTTGATTTATCACACACAGGTACCATACGAGGTTATGTGCCAGGAATTAATGTATTTGTGGAATCAAAGGGTGTTGATCTTGTCCTCAGTGTACTTATCAGAGAAGTGAAAATAGGAAAATCAGATAAAGCATATCGCTTAGTTTCCAAAGGTGCGTTCCTAGTCTACTGTGTTCTGCAGGAACTTGCTCCAAAACATATACGTGAGTATTTTGTTTTATATTTCGCATGCAATCCGTTAGTGTTTTTTTTTAAATTTGGATGTTAGACGTCTGGATTTTGTTGGCAGAGAGCCGGAACCAAACTATCCTATTTCCTCTGTATACCGTTACTAAATATTATATATATATATATATATATATATATATATATATATATATATATATATATGCATAGGTGGACCCTCTGTATTTAACAATTCGGGTTAAGTTCCGGATGTTCGTTTTTCCCGCCTCACTTTCGTTAAAACTCCGTATATATGTCTGAGTGAAACTATAAACACGGATCTAAAAAATCTCTTGATAAGGACTATCTTGATTGCGAGTCTCACCAAATAAACGTCACTGGGATTGTACTAGTACCAAAAATCAGAAAATATCCCATAAGTGTAGCTCACTTCATTAATTTAGAAAGGGTAGAAACAACGATTTCTGCTAAACCATATGGATTCGCTGTGAAAACCCACCCAACAAAAATTGGTAGAGTATTAATGTCTGATCACAACTTCGTGCTTCGGTTTGGTCACCCGGGCAGTATCACAGCCCTCACACAAACCAATGATAACTACCACTGGCTTCACTGTTATTGTATAGCGCATGTGTTTGGTTCGCCGTTGTACCAGCGTTTATGTGTTCAAATAATAATAATAATGATAGCCAGTCATGAGCAACATATAACCTACTGAAAGTTCGCATCGTCTCAAGTCAAATTTCGTGTCCATGCAGTAAGGAGAAACGAACCGCATAAAATCCGAGGGGCAAAATAATTATAGTAAAAATAGTCAAAGATTAGAGTCTCAACGGAATAAATGGGATCGAGGAGTAAGATATTCAGAAGGATACTTAAACCTAAGATTTTAAAAATGAACATTTGTGCAGTTGATACTGATTTCAAGGCATGTCTTCATAATTTCTGTTAGATTTCGACGTGTACTCTTGGTTCTATCACGTTTTATTAGTCAGCTCAATAAATTAGTTGATTTTAAGCGGACGGGACACTGCAGGCTTCCTAGTCAGATTTTTGTTAGTTTGGTATGCTCTATTGTTCATTTCCCTGTATAGGCTTAATTGCACTATAAATGTCTTGAGTGACCCATTTCATTTAGGCTGATAGGGGCCATTGAGATTTGTAATGTTCCTCGTTCTCTCAAGTCTTTGACCGGTGCACTCAACTGAACCAAAAACGTAAATAATGCAAACATAAATGTCCGCAAGACAAATATCAGAACAAGCGTACAGATACAATAACACTAGGATTGCGAAGAAAGCATATCATTATTATTATCAGCTTTATTCAATATTATATTTATGGTACAATATAGAATTCTCAGCGTAAAGTATTCTAAAGTCCTCAGGTTCTAAATGATCACAGAGAAGAATCGGCATGCTCCATTTGGCACCCAAGCCGATTCCTTACGCGTCAATTCTTTTAATAAAATCTACGTTTAGATAAATTAGTTACTTCTGTTCTTATCACATTTCAGTAGTATTTGCATTTTCCAGTTTCTATTCAGATATTTTTCTTTTTTGTTGCACTTATCAAAGAAATACATTCATGTTTCAGCATCTGAATCTTCGTCCATCGTACACAAAGTGATAGATCTATTATATCTCCTAGACGATCCACAGGAGCACCTACTGGCTGCTTTATCATTTCTCCTCCGTCCATTAGGTAGTCAGTCAAGTTATACTACAAATATACAGTCCGAAGAATCGTACAAATCATTTCCTAATTGGCTACAACGGCACTTAGACGAGCTTCGCAAAATGAATGACCCAGCTGATGAAGAACGTCGCGACTATATAGATTGTTTGCTAAAGGTTTTATCTTGAACAAAACTTGTTTCTACATCGTTAGGATTTCTAACAATGTAACTGTGGCAGGATTATAAATTTCTTTGTCAAATACTTACAACCTTTATTGATGGTACAAATAGTCTGGTTGGTTTTGCGTCATTTGTTGAAGAGTCATCCGAAACGAGTATGAGCAGTGTCACCTGCCCACTACTTGACTGCTGAATTGCTAGGCCATTTAGGATCTATATACAATGCAGCAAGAAACTGCTATAAAATATTTTTCGCATCACTCTCGCTACCAAATTGAATTTAAGATCTATAGCCTCGATATAACAACAGATTCTGTTAGTTAATGGCTGCTAACCCTGGAACATTGTTCATGTACGTCCATAACCAAAGGTTTCTGGTTGACGTTGATTTAATAAAGCAACATATACACGTTACTAAAAGCCATCCGTTTCATTTATCTTTTTACCTCAGTTTTCGAAACTTTTCTGTTTGTATTTGCAAGTACTTTCTTAGATAAGCAGCAGCTTTATCGATGGCTGTCTAACTACTTCACTACATAATAAGTGCCATGACCATTGTTATTAGAAGTTTCTCCTAAGGTCCCAAATATGGAGCTATGAACCATTTACTCCTATAATCGTGAAGCTACTAAGTTGGGGCTAAATTAGACCTATAGTTCAATGAAAGCAGTGGGATAAAAACCACTGCGTTAGGTATTTCTCAGTAGGAATAGTCTGATATAACAATAACGATCAGATATTGCAGTATTTATTAGGTCTGACCGCACCACTTATTCCCATTAACTTGCCTTTGTGGTTAGCATAAATTACGTCATGACTCTGCCTAAAACCTAATTCAACAAGAGACAATTATCCCCAGCACTTCAGTGGGATATTGGACGCCATTGCTTCCCAGGAAATTCCCGTGATACACCCAGCCCTTTTCGAGTATGCACCATCCAAAAAAAACAGTAAGTAGTTTGATACTTCATTTTTATAACGACAGGCTAAAATGTCCCGTCACAGACATTCTTGGAATCGACTTTGGAATTATCGCCAAGGGACTCCTGTTAGTCAAGTAATGCTTTACTAGAACCCGAATGATAAACAGTAAAAAGTATAACTGGCCCATGAGTACTTCATCTATACAACACTACGGGGATATTATTATACACCCCGTAGCGACAATACACACCTGTCTTAACGGAACTTCTCTTGACTCACCATGAATAAAGTTATAACACTCAGTGAGAGAATGAGTCCGGTCCCAAGAAGTTAACTCGCAGGAATAAGATAAGATTTGAATTTTCCTTCAATACAACTGGAGAAGCTGATACCTCACAATAACCCATCCGCACTCTGGGTTTGCGAATGCCAATAGTCTATGAAGGAAACGTAGGACTATGACAGTCTACCTATAGTGATTTTTAATTAGCTGTAATTCTCATAATCTGTTGAGCCTACGGCTATTGTCCACGAAATTGGTTGACTCCTTAGAACTGCGATACGTAGTGTGGTATATCAGCTTGTCGTTCCTTTCTGTTCGACAAAACTACAAGGCATTAGTTCTTACATTGCGTGGAAATCATCAGCGCAAACAACCCTTAATACACACGTTCGCAGGAATACTAGAAATCTTTGGGCAGGAACCCATGGTCTCCAGTACACAAATTGTTTGGGAATGTGACTTATCTCAAGGAGAATATCCAAGGGATGACAACTGAGTGACATGTAGTCCTAAGTATGTTGACATAGGGACTTGAGCTTTGTACTCACGCTTACCGATGTTTACTAACACACGTAGAGATGTTGAAAAAACTTAGTGAGTATATATCCAGACACAACTGTCATCTTCTAGGACACCCCATGGTTACCTGTGGACGCTTTTAACTGATTGCGTTAATACTTGGATGGTTCAGTTACAAATATTGCATGTAACCAGGAATGCGACCTCGAGCGACTAGTCAGAATCTCTGCCATTCATATTTCGGTGACGCTACTAGGAACACGAAGCAATAAGTGGTTCTATCCAGTCTATATCAGCGTTAATTATGATTTATGACTATCCTGAGAAGGGACCTAGCTAATAAATACTCTCAACAACACTAATGAACGTGCCGAAACATTATACACAAAAGACGACCTATTTGAGCTCTGGGGTATGAAAATTTAAATCGTATCTCAAACTGACATACTAGTGTAACTAACTTGACATTTCAGACGCAAAACCTGATGTTCGTTCCCGTTCAGCATATTATAAATAGAAGGCCCAAAAGCCGCATACACCTACGAAGCTTCACCTGAGTCGGAAGCATACAGTATTTCGCAAAAGATGCTGTTGAATGACGTGGGGATCGCTAATTAAATCTTAAGAATCCTATGGGCCTAACAGGGCGGAAATCCTCAAGTACATAGATCACGTACTCCTTAGGTTACAACAAGAAAACGAGTACGACAATAAAGAAAAGATGCATTACATCGTCTGAATTTATTCCACCTTTACACTCAATAAAATTATTTAGATTCTGTTACTGTAGGGGTGAGTGCATGTTGTAAATTTTTATTCCCGCGTTTATTATGCTTTTTGGCAAACCTCATATTCCTTAAGAATTTAGGGTCAACCTATGGAACTGATGTGTTAAAACGACGAACTTACGCCTTTAAGTGACGGATATCGCTGTTTCTTTGGTTTATGGATACCGTTACGGTGTTGCTTTCGATCTGCACATACAATTGAAGTGAGCAGTAATACATCTTACTTTGATTATGACTCGTATGGTTTTTGCTCTTAGCCATGACACACTCTTGGATGTTGACCTCGCGGTTAAGTGGCGCTATGTACAGTGTATTCAAACTTCAACTGTAAAATTTGCTAGGTGGTTATAGTAAATATTGTCCTTTAAGTTCTTATTCCTTGTGATAAAAACTAGATTTCGGTTACAGAAAGCTGTATTTTTATCCTTGGTACTTGGGAATGTAAAGGATATAAACGGTCTTACTGAAAGGTGTGATTTTGGAGTAACAGCTTGAGTAATCGCCTTTGATACCTACGAAACTGAAGAAAATGTTGAGTCATTCTTCGAAAGACTGATTGAGGCGTGACGTTGTAACAACTATTGCTGCTACATGCTAGGGTGACTTGTTCTAATCTTTGACCGGATGAATTTTTCTAAACTTTCCAATCACTATCATTTGTGAAGATGATATTGGGCATAATTGTATGATTGTATGTGTGTTTAAAAATTTTCTTTTACATCCCTCATATTTATAAATTTGTACATACATACTATTCACAGAGTTGGCAGTGTTTGCTATTCAAATTCACATCCATTTCTCTTTGTCTCAAATACATTACCAAGTGCTTGAAATATACGTTCGTATCCAACTTTTATATCTAATTTATCGTTGGTTGAACTTCCAGACGGAGGTTGAGTAAGATTCTTTCCGAAAGTTTGTGAATAAAAATCCCTCCACGTACACGCTGTTGCAATATGTTCTTGATTCATTCAGATGTATATTTCGTTGATCGTTTGATACCAATGGATATAGTACCATTTATATTATATTCTAGTTTTGTTTTCATATATTTCACCGAATTTTAATGTCTTTCCTGAATCACATATACGTTACTTTATTTGATATCTAAGTACGGCGGCTGCCATATAAATTTGATCCCCCTTTTGTGCTGCTCGAAATAACTAGAGCTGTGTATTTTTGGCTGTGAATTAAGGCACTTTTCCAAAACTGTAAGCACTCTATGTCATAAAAATGTTAAGTATCACCTTTTGAACAACCTGGATATTTACTTTTTGCACTTGATTTGACTACTGATTGAACAATTATTGGTTGAATAACTGTTTAGGACCATAATTTACCCACTCACCTTGTTTTTGGCCTTGACTAGAGGACGATTCGTACTTAAACTGACCTTAACAGTCATTTCTTATTGCAGACTGCTTTATTTTGGAAGTTACAGTCACATGAATTAAATAGGACAGTTGTTTCATTACCATTATTAAGATTCCGTTAATCTGCAGTTAAATGACGGGCTCAAAATCGTCAACATCAAGTCCAGTTAATAGCTCCAAAACTTACAAATTCTAGGCAGGAAAACCTTCATCTAAATCGTTGTGCTTACTCTTGAAGATCACTAACGTGGACGATCAGTGTTGAATGATGGGGGGCATTCTCTAGTTAGACAGGAATGGCGCGACGAACCAGCTAACCTCGAGGTCATGAATCGCGATCAGCAACCATTGTACACTACCCTTCCGTCGTACCAAGGTACTATGGCTGATTTGAAGACCGTCTAACACGAAAGACGTTATTGCAGAGATACGTTATTAAGAGCAACAAGGGAGAGAGTGTGACTATCACCGCATGGACCAGTCCATGGCGTGCAATCAATTGATGTGCGTCGGTTGTCGTTGAATTTGACGAGGATCGATAAACTGTTTGACATTAAGTAATCCGACTGCCGGATGATTTAGCTAGGGCCCTGTGGCACTTTATTGGCACTACACTCTACAGTCATATATCTCAAGAGGAGTTTTTAGATGTACGATTCGTATGGCTCTTTGGTGCAATGACGGAGAATATGAGCTATTTTTATGCATCATGGCCATATTTACCCTATTTGTTTTTTGTACTGTACGTGCTGATAGTACAATGACTTATAGAGGGCGATAATCTTCTTGAAATATAGAGATATAACGCGAAGTTACTGAAGAAACTGAATGCATTTCACTGACTGTAAACCACGAAGGTAAACACCAACTAAAAATGTCATGATAGAGTTTTACATTGATGTCATTCGAAGATCCCAAAACCAGTTAAACAGAAAGTCGGGAACGTAGGATTGTAAAAATATGTTTGCTCAATGGTCGATTCTTCGTGGTGTTTATAAGTTGAATTAAGTGGTTGTTACGAGAGATAGCACAACGTACCCACTGGCGATCTGGTGTGGACCCCTGACCTAGCGCCTTCAGCTTGTGGTGTTCAGTAAAACTATTGAGTTAGGTATCATTATCGACAATTTACAGAAATATTTATTTTAGGGTTTTATCTACCGCCATAAATAGTTTAATTTTTGCTTTTAAACGATGTTAGGCAGATACTTGCTCGAC